AAAGTAAGAATGATATTATTTTAGTATTATTTTATAATTTTTATTAAGGTAATATAATTTTAAAATATTTTTTTATTTTTACTCAAATTTAATTGATAAATACTAATATATTAGTATATTTCATATGTTTCTATAATAATAAAAGACAAAAAAAAAAAACTACCATTATAGCACAAGGCAAAACCTTGAAATGAACAAAAACTTAAAAAAACTATATCTGAGATAAAAATTCAAATCTCTACAGTAAAAACAGAATAACTTCAATGTACTGAAAAATTGTTACACTGAAAAACTAATGTAAAACTAACGAACAAATCAACAACAAATGGATGATTGCAATGTTTCACTCAAACAACACCCACAATATTAGGGATAACTTAAAAAAAAAAAATTTTTGAACCCACTCTACCCACTTGACACATAGACAAATTCAAAATCATCTGACCCAATCCAGTTTATTTGTTTTTAGGGTTATTTAATCTATGCCTAGGTATATGTTAAAAATATTTTTTTTTTGTATTAAATGTATATAAAAAATATAAAAATTAATATTAATTTTGGTATTAAGTGAATTTAATAAATTTTTATTTTTTTAATATAAATTTATAATAAAAAATATATTTAATACATTTTTAATCCATATTTTTAAAATACAAATTAAATAAATTTTTATTTTTGTAAGAGCGATACTATAGAAATAATTTTTTTATATTATTTTTCGATATAAATTCTACATAATATTAAATAAGTGAATGTATTTAATATCATAAGTTTTATATGGATTAAAAAAATTAATTTTTAAATAATATATCAAGTTATATAAAAAAAAATAATTCCAAAATTATTTTCTTTTTTTAAAGTGCCATTTAACCTTTCTCCAAGCTCCACTTAACCGTGAGGGGTCTGAATTGAAATATTTCCATAAGTTAACCAAAATTTTTGCATAACTTCCTCCCACCCGATATTCCATTCCGTTTCCAGGGACCGAAAAGGTAAACACCACACTATCAAAGTGCTTCAATTTTAAACAAAAAAGTCTTTCCACGGCGTGGGGGACCCGCTGCTGCTGCACTGCCCTTTTTTTATTGGTACTGACTGCCCACTAACCACGTGAAAGTCAGGTGCTCAGCAACCGAGATGATGAAAGAATCCAACACCTCCTTGCTCAATTCCCCTCATCTCTTATACATAGGGCCGCGTTTGACGCTTCCATACAAATTAATTCCCATTTCATAAAAGGTAAAGTAAACCCATACTAATTGAGAGAAAGAAAAAAAATTCCTCCTACTCCTACCATTCCCAATCTCTGAATTCTGTCGTCCTCCTCACAAACTTTTAATTTTGAAGTTTTCAACCCAAACACTGCCGTTGTCACATCCTTTTCCCCCTTCCCAGTAAATGTGCCCACCACTCCGCAATCCCAAATTCAGTTCTTAGGGTTTTTTTTTTTTTTATGTTTATTTTTTTATTTTCCACTTCTCCATCAGAACCTCGTAACCTTCATCGCAATTCTTCATGGAATCTGAGTTAGGACAAGAACAGCGGTCAGAATCAGCTGCAGCACCTTACCGACCTTGTTTGGAAGATGGCCGTGTTGACGATAATCGAAATTGTAGTGATTCTTCGGGGGGAGTTGACCTTGTGACCGTACGTCAATGCGATAAGCTTCGGGAGATTGATGATTCTCACCTTCTAGGGGATGCTGGTGTGGCGGCTGTGAGGGGAGATGGTGGGAATTCGGTGGAGGTGGGGAAAGTCGCGGAGAGAGGTACGGGGAAGAGGCGGCGGGGCCGGCCGCCGAGGTCTCAGGGGAAGGCAACGGCGTTGACGATGCCTCTGCAGAGGAAGAAGAGAGATGAGGAGGACGTTTGTTTTATTTGCTTTGATGGTGGGAGTCTTGTGCTTTGTGATCGCCGGTGAGTTGGTGACGTTTAAGTTCTTTGGAGTTAATTCTTCATGGTTCCATCTGTTTGGACGATAAGAAAATGGAAGTATGCCTTTTAGTTCAGTTAGTTGATTAAGCTTGATTTTATGTAGTTCAGCTGCAAAATTGGAACTATTCCTGCAATTGAGCTTGATTTAACTTTTCTTTTGAGTATAATCATATTGAGATGCTTTCAGTTTCTGGATTGAGAGAAAATGGCACTCCTAAACTGGACTTCCTAAGCAATTGGCTTATTATTATTATTATTGTTATTTTGTTCATCCCCATTGATATTAGACAATGTTTTCATTTCCGGTAACTGAGCTTCTTCAAGAATCAAGAAACTTTTTGGTTCTGTTATGCATTCTTTATGTGCAATTCTGCTATTTCTTTGGTTAATTGTATGATTTTCCACGTTAGGGGCTGTCCTAAGGCATATCATCCAACCTGCATCAAGAGGGACGAGGCATTTTTCCGTTCAAAGGCGAAGTGGAACTGTGGTATGTTGTAGTTTACGAATTTCTTGTCTCTCTTTTTAATTTTGTTTTAGCCATTTATGCTGGTAGGCTCCACTTATAAATGTTCTGAGAATTTTTGAAGCATGTATTGATCTTTTCTATATTCATCTAAATTAAGTTGTTTGGTTCATTAATGTTCTGGTGTTGCAATTGTTGTATGTTTCAGGATGGCACATATGTATCAGTTGTCAGAAGTATTCCCATTACATGTGCTATACCTGTACCTATTCTTTGTGCAAGGGATGTACTAAAGATGCTGACTATTTTTCTGTGAGGGGAAATAAAGGATTTTGTGGAACATGCATGAAAACTGTAATGCTGATTGAAAACAGTGCTTTAGAAAATAATGAGACGGTATGATATTTGTCATATTCCTGTTGTTTTATTGGACATATGTGTCCTCTCTGCAGTTGTTGTTGGCTTCAGTTCATGCTTCCCCTTAAATTACTTTTCTTTTGCATATATATATATATATATTTGAACAATTTTCTTTTGCATATATCCTTCACAGGTTCAAGTGGATTTTGATGACAAAAGTAGTTGGGAGTATCTCTTCAAGGTATATTGGGTTTACCTGAAAGAGAAGCTCTCATTAAGTTTAGATGAGCTTACCAAAGCTAAAAATCCATGGAAAGGAAATGCTCTAATGGCTTCTAAAGGAGAGTCCTTAAATGGAACGTATGGTGGTAATGGTAAAGGTTCAAATATGGAACTTTATTGTGGAGACCTAGGGGGTAGTAATGCTAAAAGAAGAAAAACTACAAAGCAACAAAATTTACTGGATAAGGAGGGTTCCCCAGTATTAGAAAACTCAAGTGCTGTAAAAAAGATGCCTTTGTCTGAAGGCAAAAGTTGGGCAACGAAGGAGCTTTTGGAGTTTGTGGCACACATGAAAAATGGGGATACATCAATGCTATCTTATGTTGATGTCCAGTCTCTTTTGCTAGAGTATGTGGCAATTAACAATCTTCGTGATCCTCACCAGCAGTGTCAAATCATATGTGATGCAAGGCTTGTAAATTTGTTTGGAAAAGGAACCTTAGGTCACATTGAAATGCTAAACCTTCTTGAATCTCACTTTCTCATTAAAGACTGTTCCACTAGTGCTGATACCATTAGAGGTGGAGTTACAGAAGCTGTTTCTAACCAGCTGATTGATGGGAACCATCATAACCAACTTATGATGACAAATGATAAGAGGCGTAAAACATGTAAAAAAGTTGATGAGAGAGGACAACAGATTAATCTAGATGAATATGCTGCAATTGATGTTCACAATGTTACCTTGATCTACTTGAAGCGTGATTTAATGGAGATCCTAATTGATGATGCCAACAAATTTCATGAGAAGGTTGTTGGTTCCATTGTTCGCATACGAATTCCTGGTAGTGATCAAAATCAAGAAATGCACAGGCTCGTCCAAGTTGTAGGTATTTATTTCTATAACCAATGCTTGAAGAATAATTTATTTATTTGTTTATTTTGATGCATTATCACATAATGGACATGCATTATTTTCTTTTGATGGTTTTATGTCTAGGTACGAGCAAAGCAGCTGAACCGTATCAGATTGGTACGAGGACAACTAATCTCATGCTTGAGATATTAAATTTACAAAAGAAAGAGATTGTGTCAATTGATGGGATTTCAAATCAAGATTTCTCCGAGGTGATTGGAAAAACTACCTAAAATTCTTATTTTCCTTCTTCAAATCTCTTTTTCTCTAGCTTCCTTTTATTTGAAGATCCTTCTAAGATTATTCTAAAATTTTGGGAAGAGTAGAGCTCCATCTTTTTTGACAAAGCAGCTGACAATTTGTTTTAATGTGCAAATGCTTTCTTTGTTTTGTCCCCTCTTTGCTAGTTTTATTTAGTTTGACACCAGAATTTCCAACTTTGCATTAAGGATCTTCAATTTTTTGTTACTTGTTTCCAAGCATGTGTTCAAGTTGGGTACAGACATGGTATCTTGTTGAAAATGGAACAAGTATTTTTCAAGAAAGATGATTATGTTACAGAGGAATACTTTATTGGGATGATGTATCTGTACTTGCTTGGTGAAAGAATTGGTTCTTCAGAAAATGTTTAGGGGAAATCTAGGCTTTAGAGAGGAGGAATGTGGTTTCTTTTAAAGAGTAATGTAAGTAGGATATGATAAATGCTTGAAGAAGTTCCTTTGGTCTTGGCTTTACGTAAATTATCAGAATATTTTTTAGTGGGTAAAAGTGCCTCTTTAATCTCTCTATCATTATCATGAAAGATTGTATTGAAAGTGTTTTGCATGTTCTTTTTGAATCTATTTATATATGAATCAGAGCAGAATAAAATACAGAAGTGAAAGGTATTGTTTAAATGCATGGTCCTGCCAGGTGGGCGACAGATAGTATGTTATGGTGCTGAAGTTATGCCTTTTTGGATGAAATGCACAAATTTCCTCTGGTTTTAATATTTTCATTATTATATCAGGATGAATGCCGCTGGCTGCGTCAGTGTATAAAATGTGGGCTGATGAAACACTTGACAGTGGTATGTGCCTTAATTCACTTTCAATTTGCAGAAAAATATTTATAAGTTTTCATTCAAATGAAGGGTTATGTGTGAACTGTAGGGTGATATTCAGAAGAAAGCAATGGCACTTCAGGAACTGAGGGTCAATGATGTAAGTTCCTAAGCTGTAAATTGAAAAGCATCATGTAGTTTTTTTATTTTTTTGGTGCTTTTAAAGTTATGGATTTGAATTTTGTACTGTATAATATAATTTTGATGGTTTTCTTATTATTTTTTCTTTTAACTATTTGTGCTTTTGTGCATACTGCTACTTTTCTTACCAGTGGCTGGAGTCAGAAATTTTACGGCTTGAGCATCTTCGTGATCAAGCAAATGAAAAGGGACACAGAAAGGAATATCCTTTGTTGCTTGAAAATTGAAATTATTCTTACCTCTTTCTGTGCTGTTTCTTACTTGCTATATAGTAGCTGTCAAGCCATCTTCATTACTAACAAGTCATATTAACCTATTGAGGTCAAATAGCCATCTGTGTAAACTGAAATGAACATGGGACACCCTGAAGAATTTATGGCTGTGAGCTGGGTGTGAATATGGTAATAAAACTGCATTCTTGAGAAATCAAAGTGATGTGGATTGGCAGCTGTGAAATGTCAAATCTTCACAGCTCTAATCTTTTTGTCTGTCTTTCTGATTTTACCCTCTCATGTATCTATTCTCCTTTACTATTTGTTGTGTTTCCATATAGAAGGAGTCGGCTGTTTCCATTGGTTAGAAGCTTTTCTGCTATTGATGTCAGTTGCATAAAATGGTAGTAACTTGTAATTTCTTGACCATATTGCACGCTTAAAGAATGTGTGGAAAAATTACAGCTTCTGAACTCTCCTGAGGAACTCCAGCGCAGGGTGCATGAGATTCCTCAAGTGCATGCTGATCCAAATATGAAACCAAGTAACTTGTTTACAGAAGACACTGGAGAACTGGATGAGAAGAAAAAGGGTAACTAGTGTTCACTTGTTGATGTTGAATAATATCTGATATGATCATATTCAATAATATTCTTTGTTGGTAATTTAACTGGTACATGTGCAGATACCCTTGAGAGACCAAATAATTTTGGCTTTGGTACAAAGGAAAGGGAGCCTACCTCTCCAATAAAGGGAGCTGATTACTTGGATGATATAAGAAATCAAGACAATCATTCTGTGTCATATTCTATGGGGATGGAACCATCTATTGGCAGTGTTGAGACAGATAATATATGGCACTATCAAGATCCATCTGGAAAAATTCAAGGAGCATTTCCTTTGACAGTGTTGCGCAACTGGAGTGCAAGTGGACGTTTAGCTCCTGACCTGCAAATTTGGAGGGTAGATGGAAAGCAAGATGACTCCATTCTCTTAACTGATGCTTTAGCTGGGAAGTACTGCAAACAGACAGGTTTGTTTGAAAATAACTCTTTATCAACTCAGGAGGTAAGGATTACCTCTGCTGATGACAAAAATGGCAATTCTAAGGGGATCGGGGATGTAAATGTGAAGCAGATAGAAAGTAAAAGGAGTGAGGCAAGCTGGAACTCAATGGAGAATGGCAGAGCTGCACATTGTAGTGGTAACAATGAATTTCGTAGAAATAACGAATGTGGAACTGAATCTTCTCCTTGTGCAACTGCAGCTGTTAATTCCAATGGAGGACAAAATGAAAGTCCTTTACCACAGAGTGACATCATGAAGGTTGATAATCACTCACCTGGTGAGAAGCACCAAGTGGGTAGTTCACTTCCCTCACCTCCATTTTCTGGACAACCATTTGAATCTCAGTCACATCTGTCAAGCCAAGGTCATGAAGTTGAAGGATGTGTCTCTGGCCAAAGTGATGCAAATAGTAATTTAAACAAGACCAGTGAAGAAGCAGCTGTTACTGCACATGGTACAAAAGATGGCAGTGAGGCAAAAGTGGGCCAATCTTGCGGGCAAAGCTGGATAGCTCCACCTGTAAGTCAGTCTTCAAATGAATGGGTTTCAGATTCTGGCATTATTTCATTGGTCAAGGCTCTTGAAGCAGCAGCGGAAGAAAATAAGGAAAATGATTTCGTAGACCTTCCCAGCTCCACAACTAAGTCATCTCATGAAAACTCAAAAGGCCAGGCTACTGAAAACAAACAGTCTCCGTCTTCTAATATTCCTGTACAGGATTCGGTTCCCAGCTGGAGTACTGCTTCCAGTCTGGTGGGTGGTGCACCACAGCTTCCCAATGTAGCTGGGGAATGGGGTCCATATTCCCATACTTCAACCAAACCTTCTGTGGATGAATGGGACTCAAATCTGGTGCCTGAATCTTCTCTCAAACCAACCGACTTGGCTAGTGATCATGCTGCTACACCAACTTCAGGAAGTGGTCAATTGGCAGATTCGTCTCCAACACATCTTGCTAATATTTCTTGTTGGGAGCAAATTGTTCCTGAACAAGTTTCAGATCTATCGTTGGCTGATGAATCAGTTTCAGATCTCTTGGCTGAAGTAGAAGCAATGGAGTCTCTGAATGAGTTGACTTCCCCTACTTCAATGTTGCGATGCAGTGGTGAATTGACTCAAGGTTCTGAACATGAATGTTTTAGTCCAGTAGGAGGTTTGAGCCCGGCAGCTGATCCAGGAAAAAGTAATGCATTGAGCTCCACCAGCGATTTACAAGTGCCTAAGTCAACTGTGACCTCTGAGACTTCCATGGTACTTCAAGCTGAAGTTCTTGATACTCAAAAGAGTTCTGGTGCTCATTCCTCCACTAGTGCTGAAATGGCTAGAGATGCAAGACCCGACATTTCAGCAAGCCAATCGGCAGTACCTCATTTGGATGTGCAGCCTCCTGCACCCCCTGTGACAACCTGGGGCATGGCTACCAGAGATACCACCTGGAGATCAGGGTCAGGAACTACAAGTGCTAGTTGGGAAACAGCCCATGGAAACACAAACTTGAATTATCGAGGGCTCGGTCAAGGAAGTGTGGACGTGGATTATGGAACCAGTCATGTTAGAGTCAGTGAAACTGGCAGTATGAACTCGGGCACTTATGCGGGCTACCGGGGAAACCAAAGCAGGCATTCAGGTCCTAGAGACCGGGATTTTCATGTCAGAGATTCTGGTTTTAATAGGGGAAGGCCATATTGGAGTGGTAGGCAATCGTTTCATCCAGGTGCCAATGGAGTTGCTAGGCAGTCGTTTCATCCGGCTGCCAATGGAGGTGGCAGGCAACCATTTCATCCAGGTGCAAATGGCGTTGGTCCTTACAGAGCTCCGCCCAAACGGCAGCGAATTTGTAAATTTTATGAAATCGGAAATTGCAAAAAGGGGGAATCATGCAGTTATTGGCACCCTTAAATTAGGTTACACATCAATTGTGTGCATTTAAATTCTGAATTCATTATTTTGTATCAGTAGGAATTTGTACCTTAAATTCTTCCAATTTAAGTTATCTGACCTTGGGAGTAAAATATAATTTCCTTCTAAATTATCTAATAAAAAAATCAATCTCTCCAGCTCCCAAGTAATTGTTGGAAGAAAACTATTGTAGTGTAGTTTAGATTGTATTAAACTGTAAAAGAAGTTGTTATTATTAAAAGTTTTAATAATTTATTATTAAATGGCATGTATTTTTTCAAACATGACCCTTCGGGTTAAGTGGTTCTAATTATGCTTGTAAAGTTCATGTCCTCTCTTTCAAGGCAACAGTTTGAGCTGGCTTAATAACAAAATGTTAAAAAAAAAATGACATGTATTTTTTCATCTTAACCGTTAAAAGAACAAAATAAAGAAAAAAAATTACAAAAGTTATAAGTTATATAAGCGAGATTTACAATATATTTAAATTAAAAAAGATGAAAAGAGAAGGGTAAGAGGAATTTTTTATTTTATTATTTATTTTTTCCTCTCGCTTCCTCTCTTTTATTTTTCTCAATTTAAACATAAAATTAATTTAAAGTCCGAAAATATAGATCTAATATTCTTTTCTTGCATGCAAGGAGGAAGGATGTCAAATAGCAATCATAAGATGAGTAACTTTTTTATATTTGAAAATAAAAAAATATAATTTTTTAATTTTAAATTACAAGTAAAGTAAATTCAAGAACCTTAATATATATTTAAAAATGATATAATTTAATGTTATTTCATATATTTTAATTTTATTTTATTTTATTTTTTAAACAAACATAATTATTTATAATTATTAAGGGAGTGAAAAAAAATAAAATTAAAGTTGAAATTCAAACTTCTCAACAATATTTTTATTTAAAAATAATCATAAAATTAAGTACATTTTACTATCAACCTTATAATTATCATATCACGACATACAGACACATAGTTCAAGACGCATATTATAATATAAAAATAAAAACAAAGAGAAGGGTTGGAGAATGGATTCATTTTAAATTATCGAATAGACTCTATACATATGTAATACGTTATGATTATGATTTATGATGATAGCTTGGAAGCTTATAAATATTATTGCGGATTTATTTTTCTCTGAGCCATCATTTTTCAGTTCTTCGCTCTTTTATAATGACCGTGGTTTGAAGTCTCCGACGATTTAATGGCGGCAGAAACGAGGTCCAATTTGACGTCGACGCAGAGGTACGCGGCGAGTGCACTGTTCGCGATCGCGCTCCACCAGGCTCAGATCAACCAGACCCGCCCGTTGGGCTTAGCCGCTGAAGATGATTCATCAACCGGAGACAGAATCAGCAGCAGCAGCAGCAGTAGCGACTCCGTCTCTGAGGATCCTGACCTTTGGGTCCACGAAAATTCGGCTCTGCTCCGCCCTGTTTTCAGGTCAATCATTTCTCTCAATTGCCAATTACATTTCCGATAGATAAAATCGAACCATATTTTCCTAGCTTTGCCTTTGAGAGCCGAGAATTTGATTCCAAACGTTGACAATTCTTCGTTATCTTTCTTTTCCCGAATTCCTTCAACAATGGACGGCAATTAAGATTGCGGTCTTTGGAATGTTTTTTCAGTTTTGAAGGTTGATTTGTTTAATTCCCTGCTGATCTGGCTGGCTGAACAGATTTCTGGAGATCGAGTCTACAGCATGGACTGGACTAGAGGAAACTGCAGGTTCTACTCCAGTAAAACATCATATTGGAGCAGTAAGTTGCTCTCTCTTTCTCTATGTGAGTATGTGTAATATGAGCTTGGTTATCTGCGGCAGAGATATAGTGCAAGGTTTTTATTCATGATTCAGTGATATAATTCCTTTGAATCATCATTTATTAACTGCAATTTCCAAATACATTGTCACAGTTTTTGAGGTTGTTAGCAGAAGAAACTGATGAGAATTCGTCCCTGAGGTTAGATAAGGAGTTTGCTTTGTCTAAAGCTGTTGATGCAATGGCACTTTGCATGGAAACAAATTCTGAATCTTCCAAGGCTAAGAAGGAGAAGCATCGTGAATATCAAAATGAATGTCGTGAGAAGTATTCTATTAGCGAGGAGACCAAACCTGAACCTTCTGAGTTTAAGAAGGTGAAACATCTTGAGAATGAAAATAAATGTACTGAGAAATGTTCTACTAGTGAGGTGCTGCCAAAGTCTGAAGTGGCAAATCTACAGACAGAGACTCCAAGAGACACTGATGCTAGTCTGCCTGGTGGGGATGAACTTCATGGGCCTGGCAATACTCTGAGTGAGAAACTGGCTGAAGAGGTTACAATGCTCAGTTATCAGAGGAAAGTAACTGTTCTCTATGAGCTTCTTTCAGCTTGTCTAGCAGATATTGGTGAAAAGAACAAAAAATATTCAAGAAGAAGGAAGGCCTATGATGCTCGACATCGGGTGGCCTTGCGATTGCTAGCAACTTGGCTTAATATTGAGTGGATAAAAATGGTTTGAAAACTGAATCTGTTATTCCTTTTCATATGATTTCAAACTCAAAGTTTGTTTTATCTTTTTAGCTCTCCTGCATCATGCGTAGCCAATTAACCATTACTGTGAATATCTATATTTGTTGGGTATTTGCAAGATTTAACAGCTATAGAAGGTTTCTGCTTTAGTCACAATTAAGTCTAGTAAGTACATGGTCTAATCCTTAGTCCTGTAAGCTACCTTTTACCCTTTATACCTTCTTTTGATTAGAATCTTTGTACTTGTAATTGCACATGTCTAAGTTTGGGTATTATTTGTCTCAAGCAATCTTAATCTCTAACATATTGGCCAGGTTAAACATCAATTTTATTTTCTCCCTGTTCAAGAGATATCTGCTTTGCAGGAAGCAATTGAGATGATGGTGGCTTGTGCTGCAATGGCTGTAGCAAAAGAGAATGAATCAAAGGAAGAAGAAGCTCAGTCATCCGAAGGAAAATGGGCTAAATGGAAGCGTCGTGGCATCATTGGTGCGGCTGCATTGACTGGAGGAACTTTGATGGCCATTACTGGTGGTATGTTATCTTCAATGGTTTTTCTATAATTTTGAGAACTTCAAAATTTCAACCGATATGATTTTGAGTTTTTTGGACACCAATTTAATTTCTGCAGGATTGGCTGCTCCAGCAATCGCTGCCGGATTTGGTGCTCTAGCCCCAACATTGGGCACTTTAATCCCTGTTATTGGAGCAAGTGGATTTGCTGCAGCTGCAAGTGCTGCTGGAACAGTTGCAGGTTCTGTTGCTGTTGCTGCATCATTTGGAGGTAAAAGATGTATTAAGAATATCTCCTAAACCTGTCCTTATTATTTCCTATTCCCCTAAGGATAAGACTCTATTGTGTTTGGTTTCTTTTTATGTCATTTGTGCTTCAAATGTCAGAAAATATATAATTATATATATTTTTAAAAAAAGTATCCAACTCTTGTTTGGCATGTGGTGTTCTAGAGATTTGTCCTGTCTACCTCATGAGTGGCTCCCATACTCAAGTGTCCATTGTCCTTATCTGAAAAACATACATGATACGGTTTCCAATTGGGCACTAAGGTATTGTGGACAACTTTTATATTTTTAAGCTGCTAAATGGTGGAGAATTTGATATTTTGAGGTTTTAAGTCTGATTTGTTTAGATACTTAAAGTTATTTTGAGGGAGGGAGCATGTAAAAGAACTGTTGATTCTTAGCTTTGGTCCTCTCAGCCATGTATCTGTAGATACTTGGAGATGGTTTAATCAAACATTCTACTTGAGAGTCTTTCTCTTTATTTTTCCTAATTAGCATGCCATTTTTTCTGTTTTTGCACTTGAAAAATGAAAAAATTATATAGGATGGGACCTTATTTATCTATTTTCTACCAGCTGCTGGAGCTGGACTTACAGGTATGAAAACGGCTAGAAGGATTGGAAGTGTTGATGAATTTGAATTCAAAGAACTTGGAGAAAGCCATAACCAAGGCGTGAGTTCATGCAGTTTGTTTCAATCTCCCAAGATTCAGGGAGCCTTGCCAATAGCCTATTCTGATTTAACATGTTTTCCAGAGGCTAGCAGTGGAGATCTTTGTCTCTGGATTTGTTTTTAATGAAGAAGATTTTCGAAAGCCCTGGGAAGGACGAGTTGACAACATGGAACGGTACAGATTTCTAAACAATAGTCAACTATG